GAATTTGGTTAGTCCTCAGCATGTTCAGATTTTCCTTTAACCTGTGGTTTTCTACGGCTACATGCAACTTTCCGTCAACCCTCCCCCAGTCCAGAATGTGATGGTAATAGCCAAAGTTGTTATGTATGTTACTGCCAGCAGTTATAAATCGAAGTCTCCCTGTTGTGTCAGTATCTGGTCAGTTGTCATCATTGGTGGAGGTCTACAGTGTGCTTCTTGCCATTGAGGCTGTTCGTTATGACAGGAAACAAGAAATGTTATCCAGAAGAAATGTTCTTTACTTGAACTTTCAGCATTAACCACGTTCATGATTGCCTTGAGTTTTGACTTAATTTAGTAAATTATTTTTCTGATTTGTGTCATTCTCAGTTATGACTCCAACATGGATGACAGCAGAGACAACAAGAAGAACCGGTTCTCCAATACAATGGCATTCATGGAGGAATATCTCAACCTCGTCCTGAACGACGAGCTGCCCTTCCACAATGAGGAGAAAAACAAACTTACATACGAGGTCAATCCTTGCTCTTCTACGTCCTGTCTCATCTTACAACTTCCGCCATCCTATAGTTTCGCTGTTTTCTCCCGTGTTCACTTCCTTTTTTTCCACTTTTTTTTCCTCCAGGTGGTGAGTTTGGCCAGACATTTGATCTACTTTGGTTTCTACAGCTTCTTCGAGCTGCTCAGACTCACCAGAACCCTGCTGGGCATCATCGACTGTAGACCCAATCCTGCATATGCCGGTCTCTTATTCCATGATGATGGATCAGGTAGTCTCTGCTTTGGTTACCGTTAGCCTAAACTAAAAAATATAGGACCACTTTCCCAAATAAATGAGAAAAAAGCATAAACTGGGTTGTAAGTAATATCTGCTTTTCTTCTTCCGTGTCTGAAGGGAAGAATGTGAAGCGCTCCATCCATGGGATGGGTCAGATAATGTCCACCATGGTCCTGAACAGGAAGCAGTCCATATTTGGAGGTGCCGGAGCCAGAGGGGCGGGGCTGGGGGCGGGGCTTGCGCTTGACGGACAGAGAGGCAGCAAAGATAGTATCGACAAGATGGACCTGACGGTGATGGACACCAAGCTGAAGATACTGGAGATACTACAGGTATCAGTACAAAAACCTTCCTACCCCCACTTCGCCCGGCTACATCAATTTCGAAATCCAGACACAAACTCTCCATAAAAACAATGGCTGAACCTCCTCTCAGAACATAAATCACAAGAACATTTATAGTGGCTTGGCCAAACCAAATAACTACACTGCTGAAAACATTACAGCTCATTTAAAAATAGATATTTTAGCCAAACTACAAATCAATTTCTACTATTTCATATAATACCTAAGGACAGCGGCAATATCACAGGCGACTAACAGAGCTTGATACCAATAGACCAAAATGTCAATACACCTAAAACAAATTTAGCTTGAAATACTGATATGAATGTGTGGGTATGAGAACATTGCATTTTAATATGTGAAAGAGCAGCTGAGAACCATAACAACATTTTGTTAAATTCTATAAACTTTGTCAAAACTGAATTTCACATCAAAATGTAGAAATTCTAGATTAAATCTGGTCTAACAAAACAGTTTTTTGTTGTTGTTTTTTTAACATATTTTATCTTCAGTCAACGTTAGCTGGTAAGCAAGCTAACGCTAGCTAACACATGTTGCTAACTACCCCTATTGAGATTGACCAATAAATGGCTTCAAAGGAATTATTTTGTTATGCTAGCTACTTTTAGGAAAGCAATGATATCAAGGCTTCATATTTTACAAGTCATCCCGATGACTCTTATTTCTTCATTGGGATATGTCCTGACAAACATGAACACGCTGGTTAATTATTATTACTTTAATGTGAACATGTTTCTGGCAGCTCTAACGCGACCTTACTCCGCTCTTCATCAGTTCATCCTGAACGTTCGTCTGGACTACCGCATCTCCTTCCTGCTGTCTGTGTTTAAGAAGGAGTTTGTGGATGTGTATTCCATGGCTGATGCTGATGCCACCACTAACATGGAGCATGCAGGTACAAACACAAGCTTTCACCAAAGTCTCTCTACTTGTATCTCTTACAGTTGTTTTTAACTAAACCCACATAAATAAAATATAACTAGTCAATTCTCTGCTGACAGTGCTGGTCTCTATTGATAAAGACATTTTTAATTTCAACTAAAGTTTTACCTGATTTGCTAAGGAAAATGTAATTTGACCTACCTTCAATTAAAGATGGATGTGTGTGACCTACGTCAACACACATCCCTCAGAGTTTGGTAAAGGTGTGTGTTGTTACTTCCCCCAATGCTTCCAGAGGTCCCAGTCAACATGGAAATGACAGGTAGAATCTAGAAAACCTCAAAAGCTTTTTATTATAAAGTGATCATTTAAGAAATCACTTTTTCCTGCTGTGTCCATTACATGTTCGTTAACATTTACCCTTAAATGTGCTTCCTGTTTTTACTGTCAAAGCGACCTGCGTGTGAAAATAAATAATCTCCAATCAAACTCATTTTTGGGGAATTCAGTCCAGTTGTTTTTTAACCGTTAGTGTGTTTGTCCCTCTTCAGCCACCATCAACCTGCAGCACATTGGAGAGCAGGCTGAGGCTATGTTTGGAGTCGGGTATGTAAGGTTGTACATGATACATATGTAGACATTTAACTTTACATATTTATTCATCAGGTTTTATTCTTAAAAACCTGCATCACTACTGAACAATTTCTTTTTACATTTTAAGAAGCAGATATGGATATCTCTACATATAAACTTAGATACACTGTGTGTGATTACAGTAAGGGGAACAGCATCCTGGAGGTGGATGATGAAGGCGGTCGCATGTTCCTGCGGGTGCTGACCCACCTCACCATGCACGACTACCCTCCTCTGGTGTCTGGGGCCCTGCAGCTGCTTTTCAGACACTTCAGCCAGAGACAGGAAGTGCTGCACACCTTCAAACAGGTACACACACACACACACACACACGGACGGAATTAAAAGCGGACAGAATGTTACGTTTGGGAAAGACTATCAACAATAAGACAAAATCCAATGTTTCTGACTAAAAGTCTTTAAACTAATGTGCACCACAATATGTGAAGGAGGAATCTAAATGATGGATACAAATGTGCAGAAAGGAAAAGGAAACATAATAGCAGTGAGCATCTTGCACTGCACATACTACACCTTTATACTTTCAACTGAACCTTCTCACAGCTGCTAGAGCATCAGACTTTTAATCTAAGGGTCCAGGGTTCAAGACCCTGTTCAGGCATCATGTTTAATGACCTGTCTGTTTGGTTCCCTATCATCATCGTTCATGGTGTCCGTGTTGCCTTCGGTGAGTGGTACATTTGGAAACATGTACTGTATGTTCAGGCAAAATACTTCTTGTGTAATATGTTGGTTCAACACATGCTGTCACCACATGACTTGGCTTTAGAGATGATGCACAACAATCATTTCACAAGTCTACCCTTTGTACTTGAGCTCATACATAACTTGAAATGTCTGAAGAGCTCATCATCATAAGGAGCTCATTTCAGAATTAAGAATTTCGGGAAATAAATATTTTTCGCATCCCTATCAGCCTCATATCTGCTCTGATATATCTGACTCAGTGTGACATAATAAGGAAGTACTGTATGTATTTTGTAAGAAAGAACATCTGTGATCACAGTGGGGGAAGCATTGAAAGAAAGCTGTGGACTGAAAGCTTTAGTGACAACTCCGATAATAAAGAAATACAAATACATTCCTAGAATTACACATTTATTTGCCTTTATCAACAAAATGTAATTTGAAGTTGGTGGTAGTGTTACACAATTGTTCTTTAACATTGATCAGGACCAAACTGGAGAAGACCATAGATACATTTCTTGAATGCCAATTGTCAAAGCAGCAACCTTTATCCAGTTTATGTAAGGTCTGTTTGTTTGTTGTTGTCATTAACCAACCAACTGTCAGCAAGATACTCATGTTACTCTGCAGGTCCAGTTGTTGATCTCGGCTCAGGATGTGGAGAACTACAAGCTGATCAAGGCGGATCTGGATCGTCTCCGAACTCTGGTGGAGAAATCTGAACTGTGGGTGGAGAAGAAGAACTCAGGTGGAGGCGACGGGAAGAAGGACAAGAAGGAGAAAGAACAGGTAGACAGCAAAAACGTCACCTTGTTTTTTCACCTTCAATTTCAGGATAGCCATTCATATTGAAAAAGGTAAAATAACTGTTGGAAAATTCCCCAATATGTGGTCAGCATATAAAAGGTTTATTTTACAAGCTTTGTCAAAGAAATTAGTTGCAATTAGATTATTGATTATTCCTCTGACTTCAAGCTCCTTTTCCACATTAGTGTCCAGTTATTGTTTTAAAAGAAACACTCACAAAAAAGCAAGTAATGTCATATATATAGCCCCCTTTACTTTATGTCATCCACTCACTGTATCATCACATGCTATTTTGTTCTTTAAAGATATATCTAATTTGGGATTCAAAGCTAATACCTGTCTATATCTATATCTATATGTATATATGGACATGATATGGTTTATGTTCCTGCCACAACTGATACGTATCTTTCCAAATGCCTAGAATTGGACAAAGAATAAATCTTTTTATTAAGTACGTTACATCACAGTCATTTAGCAGACACTTTTATCCAAAGCAACTTATAACTTAGATTCCATCACACCGTAGGCACAGCTACTGGAGCAATTTTGAGGTAAAGTGTCTTGCTCTAGGACACATCTACATGCGACTAGTGGAGCCAGAGCCGGGGATCAAACCTCCGATCCTCTGGTTGAAGGACGGCCCTGCTCTCCACTTAGCCACAGTCGCCCACTACATGTGTGCTCAAGGAGGAAAGGGGGTTGAGGAGGCGGTGGAAGTGCAGTATCATCAGCATACGACTTTAGAGTGAAAGACAGTTCAGTGAGGGAGTTGAGTCAAATGAGAATTATTGTCTGAATCCTAAAGGCTTACTTTCTCTCAGAACTAACAGGTGTGCTGTCAATGTCTTAATGTCTTGATTACATTCCAAGCTGCTGTAAATAACTATATTACAACTAACAGTGTATAACCACTAACAAATTAACTAACTCAAAGTCACTACTTAAACCAGCACAAGAACCATTTCCTTGGTAGAAAACTAATATTATTGATAATCAGAATATCACTCATGAAACTAACTACAAAACAGAAACCAAACAAATGATTGTTTAACCTTGGTGGTTGGTAACGTTGGTGTGGGGCTTGCTGATGTCTCAGATGGTTGAGGTCCTGGGTTCAGATTTGGCTTGGGGTTTTTGTTGCATGTCACGCCTAAACTCTCTCTTTACTGTTCTGTTGTACACAATGCTCCAAACATGTCTTAAAAGTCCAGTGTGAAGGATTCAGTGGCATCTAGTGGTGAGGTTGCATATTGCAACTAACTGAATATCCCTCGCTCACGCCTCCCTCTCCAAGTGTGTCAGTGAACTACGGTGGCCTTCAGGTAACAATAGAAAAAAACATGAAAGTCTCTCTTTAGACTCATTATTAAGTTTGTCCGTTCTGGGCTACAGTAGAAAGATGGCGGTGCAACATGGTGGACTCTGAAGAGGACCTGCTCCCTATGTAGATATGAAGGACTTTTCTCAGCTAATGGTTAAGGTTCTTAGTTTCAGGTGATTGTACACTGATGAAAACGCAGTCAATCATAAAAGCTCCTTTAATAGCACCATTTGATTATCAATCTTTTGGCAAAGGCTGGCCTGATCATTTGCTCTAGCCAGTCAGTAGTGAGACATTTATTTCTCCTGCCAACGTCATTTAGTCGACATGGAAGTTGTGGTCGTGGTTACTGGGAGCAGTGAACTTTATGTTTCTACTACCATCAAACCAGTTAACTTGAGCATTCTTATTTCTGTAAGTTGACTAACAACAACCTGCCCAATTGCAAACAATCTTATCCAGGGTTGGGTGACATTTTTCTGTTGCTATTTTTCACAGATGTTGCCCAGGTAGCTCCGTAGGAAAGTGACGTCCCCACTCTTAGTCCCGCCTAAAAAGCTCTTATAGGTTGATTGTTTTTCAAGACCTATTTGAATGACTTCATGTCCACATCTGCAACAGTGTAGAAGTGTTTTGAATCGTAACACATACTTTATGGTAAATGGACTCGCTTTTCTAGTCTTCCGACCACTCAAAACGCTTTAATTCATACACTGATGGCAGGGCTACCATGGAAGATGCCAACTGCCCATCAGGATCTATCTAAGCATTCATACCCATTCATACACCGCAGGAACAGCCTACGGGAGGAATTTGGAGTTAAGTGTCTTGCCCAAGGACACATCAACATAGACCCAGGGATCGAACCGCGGACCCTGTGATTGAATTCAAGTGTGTATAATTTAGTACCTAACCCAGAGAGAACTGCATATGCTGTCTTACCCTCTGCATCCTGCAGGGGGCATCAGAGGATGCGACGCCTAAGAAGGAGAAGCAGGAGAAGGGCAACGAGAACTACCAGAAAGTCAAAGAGGTGAGAACGCTAGTCCAACAGTGTTCCTTCAAGAGGTTACCCGCTTTTAGTTTCGTTGTTGTTTTGGCTTTCCTTCTGCATCGTGGTGTTTCTGTGGTGCATGTCCAACAGATCACCTGTCAATCAATCAATGTGGGCTGAGGTTTCCTTTGATGAGGTTGTTTATGTAGTGGTCCTGTCTTAGTCTTTTCAGAAATGGTGGCTTTCTCTGATCAGAACCATTTCATTTTGTTTCTCCTTCCTAATAGTCACTCTGAATAACGGCATTAGCCAAATGTCTCAATTATAAATGTAGTGGAAGATAAAAAGGAAATGTTCAAAATAAAAATAAAAAATGTAATCAATCTTTGTACAATACTCACATTCCCACACAGTCTGTACACTGAAAGAGTTGCTGGTGTGTCTAATCATTCCTAAACTGTCTCTGAGGCAAAGCTGACTGCTCTGTATGAAATAAAGAACAATCCACAGTCGTCATTTTGTTTCAAATCACACCAAAGTTCAGCCAATCAAATCGTTTGTTTGCCTCTTCGTCTGATAGATTTGGGCTTCAATTGTTGCCACCATTCTAATGCCAACAATGCCATTGTGATCATACATTTCATATTTATGTGGTTTATTTTTTTAAACACCTTTTAAGATTTAATAGTTGTGTGCAGTTTTTATGGATCACTTTTGTTGTAATAAAATGTAATAAGCACTCAGTAAGTAAATGTAGAAATGTTAGAATGTGTATAATGAAAGCAGATTTTAAACTGGTAAGTTGCTTTAAAATAATGTAGGTGTGGCTTCCAGCATCATTGCCTCAATTCACTTTTCTTTTTATCTGAAGTTTGTTTTGTGAATTTGTTATGTATTAGCCAAAAAGTATGAATTCTGTATAATTTTGATTCAGGTTGATCAAATGAATCCACTTCTTTACAATTTAATTTTCTATTCCTTTTCCATTGTATCCAAGAATTTACGGCAGCAAAACAAACTTGTAGCAAATAAAAATACATTTTAACATTTGGAAACTGGACAAATATGGTTTTCAGTATGTTTAAAAACATAAAGAATAGGGGGCCTAACACAGAGCCCTGGGGAACCCCACAGAAGTAGTCTTGAGTAATTCTTTACATTAAAGTAATTTCCATAAACATATGTATAAGTAATGTTTGGGATTGTATTTGAACAGCTTCAAGAGAATAATAAGAGTCGGTCTTTATACTGTACATTTTACATAGCATTGCAGTAGACTTAGACATATTTGCTTTGACTAAACTGAAATATGATTTCCAGCATATTTTATTCTTAGTTATCTATTATCATGTCAAACCCATAGAAGGTATTTCAGACACTCTTATGTATAAGTGTACTCTGTGAATGAGAAGTTAAGTGGACAATAAATTATACTTTTCTTAGCAGCTAGGGACTTTACTTGTTAAGGATATAAAATGAAACAGCTTTCATGTTTCACGACAAACATATTATTTAGTTTCTTCTAATTGTGTCTCTTGTAATTGTGCACCACCTCCACCTGTCCACTGCCTGGTATCTCTGTAGATCCTGGAGAGGCTGAATAAGATGTGCAGCAGTGGAGTGTGGAAGAAGCAGCAGAGGCTGTTGAAGAACATGGGAGCGCATAAAGTCATGCTGGACCTGCTGCAGGTGTCATATGACCAGGTGAGACTGGTTCCCGCCACAATAAGAGCTTCTTAATTTGCAGGTGATGTCTCCACTCAGTACACACCGCCTCTCATAGTAAACACTATGAAACTCATCAATATAAGACATAATATACGGCTGTACTGAATAGCTGGAAACTTCATTCATAACTCTGACGTTTGAATTGTAAATCAACATTTCATGCTGCGGAGCTTGTTGGTTTCTTTCATGCTTATTCATTGTGTTTAAAGCCTGTATTACTGTATTACTGTATTACTGCACAGTTGCAGATGAAGATCAGGCTACATATTATAATGAGTATTATTAGTATATAAATCAGATTCCATGGTGGCAGGATTGCTTCAGATTCTGTGATCTAAACATTTCCAATAACTCCAGAGTGTTGTAAAGTCCAAAGGTCATCATTTATGGAAAAAAGATTGATGTAATCATTTCCAAAATTCACAACAGGTTTTTATCCAACAACATATTCTGCTTTAATCCATAATTGTTGGTGTTTAGCCTTTTAAAAACAGTTGTTAAATGAACGTAAAGTCGATCGAGAAAATGCAGCATTGTGCAAAGGCTCTGGCTCGGGGGCCCATGAGCCTTGCGGACCTTGGCCCTGTGATGGTTAGTTGGAGTTTTGAAAAAGCAGCTCAGCAAAGTTAAGTAAAAACACAAACGGACTCCTCTGAATACTAACCCCTTCGTCCTCTCTGTTTGTCTGCAGAGCGATGTGAAGATGCAGGAGATCATCAGGTACACTCATCTGTTCCTACAAAAGTTCTGCACAGGGAACCAGGAGAACCAGACTCTGCTGCACAAGAACCTAAACCTCTTCCTCAACCCGGGGGTACGCTGCTTTAAAAACGGATCAGTCCATTAGCAGAAGATTCACTAGTTACTACTTAAGTTCCAGCACTAACAGTGTCTTTTGTACAAGTGTGGCTCGGCTCACCAACATTTATTTGGCAAGTCGACCAAATTTGAGAGGTATGCTTCATCGGAAACACTAAAGTTAAAGTAAGTAGAACGCCAACAGAGTACGTTGTGGCCTGGAACTGTAATCTCCGGACCACCAACAGATGATTAGTCCATTAATGGGAAACATTTTTAATATCTAGTCATTTATCAAGAAAAAAGGCAAACAAGTTTTGGCTCCAGTTTCTCAAATGTGGTGGTTTTCAGCTTTATATGATTGTAAATGTACTTTTGAACAATATATAATAACCTCTTATAGACAATACAATTCATCAATAACATGCAAATAATTGCCAAGAACTCCCATCCTCTGCTGGTTAACATTTAAAAGTTGTACATAAATATGATAAGAGTGGTCAGAGCTCTATTCTTGGCATTTCACAAACTGAATCACTAAACGAGTTAACTGGGTAAATATGCACATGATTGACCAGAAGTGACATTAGTTGTTGCATGTTGAACTTTCCTCCTGCGTCTGTAGCTGCTGGAGGCGGAGACGGTGCAGCACATCTTCTGCAACAACTACCAGCTGTGCAGTGAGATCTCAGAGAGCGTCCTGCAGCACTTCATCCACTGCCTGGCCACGCACGGCCGCCACGTTCAGTACCTCAACTTCCTCCACACCATCATCAAGGCCGAGGGCAAGTACGTCAAGAAGTGTCAGGACATGATCATGACCGAGGTGAGGACGAGACGCCCCGCTCTAGACACAATGCTTCAGTGTGTTCTGTGAGGTGATGTAACGCTGTTGTCTCTCTGTAGTTAACTAACGCAGGCGAGGACGTAGTCGTCTTCTACAACGACAAGGCCTCCTTCAACGTCATGTTGGAGCTGATGGCAGAGAGCAGGGAGGGGGTTGGAGAGAGCAGCCCGCTCAGGTAACCATCAGTGGAAGAAGTACACTGCAGTAAAAGTACTAGTACCACACTGTGAAGATACTCCACTACAAGTAAAAGTACTGAGTTTAAAAACATAGATACATGCTGTTAGAGTAGTTCAAGTAAAAGTGTAAAATGTTTTACTATTCTATCTGATGGATTCATATTCCTGCTGCATTCATGTGTATGTTGCATGTTGTAACTCCTTTAACCTACATGAATGCATCATCAAGACGCTGTCCTGTGAGAACCACAGATCTCTTACACTGTACAAATGTTGTAAAAAGTACATTATTTACCTCTGAGATGTAGTGGAGAAGAAGTAGAAAGTTGTTGACCATGGAAATATCTAGGTAAAGTACAAGTACCTCAAATATGTGTTTAATTACACTACTGGAGTAAATGTACATATTTTGTACATTTACAGAAAATACATTTTCACACAATCATAACTCTGCATGTTTCTTTCTCTTCTCTGCAGGTACCACATCTCTCTGGTGGAGCTCCTAGCAGCCTGTGCTGAGGGCAAAAACGTTTACACAGAGATCAAATGTACGTCACTGTTGCCTCTGGAGGACGTGGTCAGAGTGGTGACCCATGAGGACTGCATCACTGAGGTACTGACCGTGTCATTATTATACCTGTCTCTCTCTCTACCTGTCTCTCTACCTGTCTGTCTCTCTACCTGTCTCTCTCTCTACCTGTCTGTCTCTCTACCTGTCTGTCTCTCTACCTGTCT